GCGCCCGGACGCGCGAATTATGTCAGCAGTCAACTCCAGTCACAACACAACCGCAGAGATCAGTCAGGGGGAGCCGCGGCTAGTTATCAACACGCAAAAACTTTAGATTCTAAGATCTAGAACGGCCATAAATCCAGAAAGACTACTTAGTTGAATATAAGCTCTGCTGCTCTCTGTCATCCTTTGCAGCCGCCTCCCATATCTCTCGCATGCCTCTTCTACCAACAGAAAAAGGATTGCTTTCCATCTCTGCGGCTACCTGAGCCTCAACCCGATCATCTTCCGCCTTACTCCAATCTAGGTAGGCTATCATCTCTTCCTTAGTCCAATCTCTAGACCCTGGGGATAATATACAGCGTGCACCCATCTGCTTCCAGTCTAGGCACCACTGGTAGCTCGCTTTATCGTATCGTAGAGGCAGACCCATCGCCTTCCTATATTTTTGATTGCTTTTAACACTTTCACTGAGTTGGGCCTTGTACCATGTGTCTCGAGCGACAACATATCTCTGATAGATAGCTCGGGGGTCATCATATCTTAATGAAGGCCCCGCCCCTGCCTGTGTTGATGGCGCTGCTAGCGACACTGCTGGCGCTCTGCTACTCATGCCACCGACATTAACGACAATGCAACCGGGACCATCTCCACCTGATCCTGCATGCTCTGGCGATCCCGATGGCGGTACTATAGGTGCTTCCAGTGCCTGCTCGGGTGCTGCCGCCGATGATGATGATGCTACTGACGATTGCAAAAGCTCTTCGTACCGCTGAGGGCATGCTTTCCAGGTCATCTTATGTCCTAACGAGTGGCATCTGCTGCACGTAGGCTGTGCCCTCGGCTGTACCGCGGCCTCAACTGCCTCAAATGCACTAGGCTCTCGCCTCGTACTTTTTGCCGGCTGGTTGCGTCTCTCGTTATGCTGGCTCGAGGCTGCTCTAGGCTCCAACATAGGCCGTGGTTGATCTACATGCCGCTTCAAGTACCAATGAGGATGAAATTGTTCTAGCAAGAGGGTCTTCCTTTCTTCCTCCAGCTTTTTCAAGGTATGTGCACACGGTAGTCCATGCGATGATGTGAATCTCTGGCTACAGGGAGCTTTGAGCGCTGGAATCAACCGTTGTTGTTCCTGCACCTTGCGTAGAGCCTAATGCGAGACCCAACCCCGTATAGCCTCAAACAACACTCCGGAGATATCTAGAGGTATCCGTAACTGCTGAGAGGCCCGTACATGGCTTAGTTCTCTCAATTGGTTAGTAATGGCCGGTTTCATTGCTTGCCAGGTATCAAAGAGGTCTAGAGCAGAAGTCTTGATGTATGATTTTATCAGGGAATGAATTCCTTCAGCCCTAGGAAGTTTATCAGTATCTATCCCCTACGGCTCCATGGCCCTATAATCTACCTGCCTTGAGGTAGCAATGTTGCCGAAATGCAAGTATTTATCTACCCATGCTTTGACGACCATCTCCTTATATGGATCAAGCCAGACTGTCTTGATATACCCAACGGCCTCTGTGTACTTCTTGGCGTATTTGCACTCGAAGCTAGTCAGGCGCTCCTGAAATACTGCTTCAGTTGGAGAGGCTACAATCGAGTGCCAGGATGCATAGAATTCATCCCGTGCCTTTTCTGGCTGATCTCCACCGCCCAGCATGAAGGCAGGTCGGCAATGCTGTAAGACTGCCTTGTTGACGTGCCAGAGGCAAAGCAGTGACTTAGAGAGGGGGAACCAGGTGGCTGAAGCATTCATCGCTGCCAGCCACCGGTCCGTCAAAATGACTGAAGGAAGATCATGCTGGTAAAGGGATTTGAGATGTTGCAAGGCCCACGAGTAGTCCTCCTCTGTCTCACCGGAGAGAAACGCGAAGGCGATACAGAAAGAGCTTTGGCAGGAGTCAACGCCGACCATATCAAGAAGTGGCATAGCATGCTTATTTGTTTTGTAGGTGCAATCCAATATCAAGACGTCGGGGTTGCATTGCAGATATACAATAGAGTCTGGGTGGGCAAAGAAGATAGCCGTTAGTCGATTACCAGGATCCAATCGGACTCTGCACCAGAAACCCTCCCTGCTCAATTGGTCGACTAGTGCCTGGATGCTGCTTTGACCCTCACATAGATCTCGCCTCGTAGCCGCAATTCGATTGTAGATATCCTTCTGGGTTGCGAGGGTATCGGAGTATTTCTGAAGATAGGTTCTAATTTCCCAAGGGGCAGCTCCAGAAGCTATAAGACTTGATATAGCTTTTATATCGTTTTCCTTAAGTTGGCGGTACGCAGGGTGTACGGATAGGTCTCCGCTCGGAGGGTGATTATGGATTATGTGTTCCTGGCTCGGCCGGTAGCTTAGGACCTATGAATCCCCCCCAAGGGATTGTTTGGCAAGTACTGAGAACTTATAACCAGTCCCTCGGCTGTATATACGATGTATCCTTTCGGCAGATATACTTGGCGGTGGCTTGTTCCGATTATATGCAAATACAACCTTGACTCGACCGTTTGGGGTTTTTAAGGATTTCCCCGTCGTGAAAGCATAGCCTCTAAGCTTCGCCCAAGAGTTAATGGATAAAAGGAGAGCCTCCCTAGAGTCGTATATGCCCTCGGGCGGGAGTACATCATCAGGAAATGTTGCCTGAGCCATGATAGGGCTGATCTCTGCGGTTGTGTTGTGACTGGAGTTGACTGCTGACATAATTCGCGCGTCCGGGCGCCTCTGTAGCGGGCGCCCGAGGCAGGCAGTCGATTAGTCATACTGTACCCTGTCCCGCGTTCTCCAATCACATAGGTGAATTCCAGTGCTTACAGTAACCCATACTTGATTGGTGTGAAAACATGCCGTAATTAATTTAGATCCACTAAGGCCACAATCGTGGCTCGTTGTGTTTTGATTGTTTGAGCTTTTGCAGCTACATGGGATTATGTTACTCCCCGATCTTCCCAACGAGCTTCTGGCCTTGATTGGCCATTATCTTCTGGCCGAATCTCTGTGCGCATTAACTCTCACATGCCGCCATTTGTTTCTGGTCTACCAGCCCGAGCTGGTACGTTCAAACGCCAAGGCGCTTGCATGGGGCTGGACCCCGCTCTCCTTAGCAGCAAGGCATGGACATGACGCTATCGTGGAACTGCTCCTCTCCGACCCCAGAGAAGATCCCGATCAACGTGATGAAGAGGGCGAGACGGCACTCTTTTGGGCAGCGAGATGTGGTCAAGCGCCTATACTGAGGCGGCTTCTCGCCACAAACCGCGTCAATCCGACTAGACAGAATCACCGACACCAAACTCCGCTATACGGCGCGGCATCTAGAGGACAGCCTTTGACAACGCGATTATTGCTTGATACACCGGGCATCGAGCCGAACCCCAGCAACGAATCGGGTCGAACTCCATTGTGGATTGCGGCGGCACAGGGACACGTTTCGACTGTCGAGTGCCTTCTAGCAGTTCCAGCAATCGACATCAACCGTTCAGACGATTCCGGAAGTTCTCCGTTCCTAGCAGCGGCAAGTTACGGACGCGAAGAAGTGATGGCTGTCCTAGCAAAGGAGATACAGGTAGATCTACGGGCCAGGGACAACCATGGCAGGACAGCATTAGCGAGGGCTGCTGGGAAGGGTCATATACGAGTAGTGCGTCAGCTCCTCAATATGGACCAGTTCGATTTGGGATCTAGGGACTTTGAAGGCTGGACCCCACTTGCCTGTGCTGCTTGGTATGGGCATACTGCCGTCGTGTCTTTTCTCGCTGATCTGGAAGGTGTGGATATCAACAGCCGAGATCACTTGGGGCGGACGCCATTATTCCTGGCTGTACGTAATGGGCGGTACGAAGTAGTTAATTATCTTTGCAATAGAGCAGACGTGGAGCAGGATGTTACCGATTCTACCGGAAAGACGTTACGAATGGCGGCCCAGGACAACGAAGACCGGATAATGCTCGCATTACTAGGATCCTTTGGCTTACGGATAGACGAGCCACTACCGCTCACGCTCAAGGACGTTTTGCACATTGTTGGCTTCGTTATTGCGTTGATAGCTATGTTGGCGGGTAAGTTCCTGAGCTAGGCATCAGGAGCGGCCGCTCCGCGCTACCTCAGAGGAGCTACTGTGGAGTCATCCTCGTGATGATTGTTCATTTGGGGGCAAATTTGATCAGTGTAAGAACGGTACCATTGGTTACTTAATACTTCTCCATACAAGTCTATACACGTATTGCTATGTTTAATTCATAGTACTGCATAGAATCTGTGGCAGCTTGACTTGTTGGCTGTACTCGATGGCTGTGTGCCTCCACCCCATCACGCGTGCTAATATCAGGGGTTTGGGAGCAGTATGGGCAACTGCTATGGATCAGACTGGCAAGCGCACCATTCACTATTCCTTCATCCTCTCATTCTAATTACATTCACTACTACAGTCATCCTTCAATGCCTCTTTCCCGGTCTGCTTTTCCTGGAGGTTCGTGCCGTGGGAGCGCTTCCTATCCGAGTCATTGGGCGACATCAATGACATATGGACGAGGCAGAAGGCAGCCCTCAGCCGGAGGCTCTTGTTCGCACCCGATAACATCCAATTACTGAAGCGGTCAGCGGAAGATGCAAAGCGCGATGCCAAACAGTGGGCGGCCTGCTCTGGAGATGACGGATGCAACAGCGGCGTCGCGGAGGCGGGAGATGGTGGTGGTGACGGCGCCGGTGGTAGAGACGAGGCAGACGTGCAAACCACGTACTGTTGCGGAAGCGCCGGTGATACTACGCGGCTGATCGACGTCTTGAGGAGCGCCGGCGGAGCAAACCAGATCACGGCAGGCTCGAGTGAGCTCTTGGCGATGACGCAAAAGCTCTGCCCATTCCAACACGCCGCTCTGGGCTCAACGGCCGAGCTGCGTGCCCGGATAGCATCCAAGCCAGAAGCAAGAACAGTGGCCTTGCCTGGAGGTCTGTTCACCGGATCCGAAGTCCCAGCACAGAGGCTGTTAAGGTCCATTAAATCGCAACAGACTAACGCATCGAGAGAGATGGAGAGGATGATCCAGGGCATTCAGGGCATCCAGGGCCTGACTGACCACAATACGGCCGGCCGAGACGCATCCGTGAACGCTGTTCTGAGCGGTTTCGGGGAGCAGGACGTCCAGCTGTCCGTTGCCGATGTTGAGGAGAGTATGCCTAACCGCGGCCCCGCGGCTAGCGTTCAGTTGGGACCCTCGACATCCTTCCTGGCAGCAGGAAGGCAGCTGGCTGAACGCTTCACGCTCAATCACAAGCAGTCGGTCGCCTTCTTGCTCCTTTGCCAGCAGCTCGACCTCATACGCGGCGGCGAGAGTACACATGGCCAACCTGCTCCCCAGCTATACCAGTTTATCGGCGGCGAAGGCGGAACGGGGAAGTCGCGGGTCATCGAGGCGCCCGTCGAGCTCTTTGCCGGCAAGGGCGTCTCACATCGATTGACATCAGCAATTTGAGGTCGGGCGGAAGCGTGGTAGATTGTGCCAAAAATACGGCGAGGGCGAGGTTGCTGTCCATCTTTAGGACACACTAGGCATCTATAGCACAAGACGTGATCCGTAACGGCGACAGTGCGCTCCAAAAACATGAACCTCGACTTACAAGGGTCGGGCGCTGAGACAACTTTTGTTTGCACCTCGGCGACGGGGGGCACCCCTAGCAACTCTCTTGCATATGCCGCCGCAGTGGCGGCGGCATATCTCTGCCATTCCTTGTCCTTGTGAGAATCGGAGTAGTCGCAAATTCCCCGGATCGGCAGGCAAGGTAGAATGTCCATCAGACCAGCAGCCTCCATCTCGAAACAGATGGCGTCCAGTTGCTGAGCGATGTTGTCTCTCTGGGTGCCGTTCCTCATGACTTGGTTGCCCGAGGCAATAGTGCCGTAATGTATCACAGGGTTATCTGTGTTCCGCCTTCTTCGCGATACCAGCTTCGAACGGTCGTATTCATCGCAGCTAGGTGCTGGGGATGTATGATCGTACTCCGAGAAGAAAAGGCAGTCCGTCATGGTCGGGCGGCCATACTGGGAGTGTCTATCGAACTTTCCTCTAATATGTGAGATTCGGCTGCCGTCTCGTTCATGTCTTGCTTGTAGAGACGCCACGGCCGTGCCAAGCAGGTGATGCGGGCTCTTCGGAACCGCGGTGCGCTGGATCTGTCTGTCTCCGATGATCTTCCCTAGATCGTACTGCATCACCCTCGTCCCGACAACGACGTCGCCCACACGCATGTCGACCCTTTTCGGCACTCCGCCTCCGATTCCCACCATCAACCAAGGCGGATCGATGAGAAGGTTCGGATGAGGTGTGTCAGCACGTTCGCCGCGCTATTCGTTCCGTACTGAGCTGTCGGCAAAGGCGCAATGACGATGTTGTGGCGCTGTACGCTGCCGAGCGTGTAGGTGTTGGTGTCGTTCGTATGCCTGGGCAGGTCTTCGTGGATGTCGTCTAGCATGGCGCAAGCTGCGGCCATCTTAAGGGTAGCGCGCAGATCCAGGCGATTGTATCTAATCGTGCGAAACAGGTGGCCAGTTCCGTGACTCGTGAAACCCATTTGCTAGGTTGTCATGGGACAGGAGGTTCGGAATAGCGTCGAGAGGAAAGGTGGCGGTCGCCGCTCAGGAAGGGACGCCTTTGGATGTCAACGGAAAAGAGGGGAACGATAGGGCGCGTGCATCAGGTAGCCATCAGACGACTTCGTGCAGGCACTGCCACCGCCTGCTGCTGCCATCAACACCCCTCCCTCGACCGCCTCATGAGAGGGGAAACCTACTGAAGCGCTCCATAGGCAAAAACACAGCATCCCAACCGCCGATTCTATCCCCACTCTCAGCAAGTCCAGGACCTATTACCAAACGGGCATCTCATTGACCCACGCACGTAGGGTACACGCGCAGATAGAAGCGATAGCAAGAAGAGAGACGACAGACCCACTCATGACAGTCTCGACAGGAAGCAAAATGAGTTATAAACTGGGAGATTTTGGTCCATTTTCGGCTGCTAGATTGTCTCCCCAAGTACCACTGAACCGTGTTCGAGATTACTGCAGCACAACGAGCATCTACCATGACCAATCACATAGCAGGTTCTCTCGTTCATCTGAATGTGTGGGTCACACGTGATTGGTCTGTAACCACAGCCGGATTAGTAGTCGGACCGAGCACGCTTATGGGGCTGGTTCTGTAGATTCGTCCAAGCTCCAAATACGATTACAAATTCAGCCGTACGACACGTCCTACTCGAGTACAAGATCGACAGCAAATGTCGGCAAGCTTTTCTAGACCAATTAAACTAATAGTACAAAGTTCCCGGGCACCTAATCATTGGCTAGTACCTGCCATTCTTTAGTGGCATGATTTCATAGCCGAGTACTAGCCGACATGGAAGTAATTGAAGATTGATGAATCTACTCATTTCCCACCGGTTATTTTCGGGCGATTAACAAAGCGATTTTCAGAGTGCCCGGATTTTTTTGCATGGGCGGGCGGGCAGTACAAGGACTTGCTGAAGCTGCGGGTCAACCGGGGAGCCTAAACAGGCACCACTTCATCGTCGCCGATGTAATGAGGGAGCGGCTGGGGCCCCTACGCAGTGCACTGTATGAATTGCACGCACTCGGCTTTGCGCACAACGACGTCACGCCAGCCAACCTCAGCTGGACAATAATGACGACGCTGAGTCACGTGATAAGCCGAGGCGTAAAGTTGCGGGGCCACACGCCACGACCGTTGCTACTGACCACATGATGTACTTGAGCGGCGACCATGGGACGTACGCGCCTACAAGCAGATTTTCATTGGTCTTTGAATTGCCGAGAAAATGCATATGGCTAAGCCTCTAATTGTGGCTGGACATCTTATATGTATTCAAGGACAAGTGACTCAATTAGTCATCGTGTCCGAGTTCACGTGAAAGTGGAACTAGGCAGTCAGAGCTGGCATTCAGATGACTGCAAATACTTAACGATTGACTGAGAATCATTAGCTAATGACAATCAAATGACGCCCATGCGACGATCCTTCAGCAAGTCCTATCAGAACGCCTATCCACGGTCAAGGATAGAGCAAGCCCAGCCAAATTACTGAATGCTGCTTGCATATTACATATACGTGCTGGGACTAATTCATCTGATCGCTTCAGATTGAAAAAAAAGTTCACGCCAGAGCCAGCCGAATTGAGCTCAGGTATGGACTCGGACTTGAAATCACAAATCATTCATGGATTTCCCTGAGCAAACGTCAACGTCGGGGTTGCAGGGTGGTCGGCCCCCAACTTGTAATTCCCGGACATTTGGGCCCTGTAACAATTTGCCTGGGAACCAGTTCATTAGTATGCTCAGGTAACGTGAGTATGCGGGGTGATATTTTGGATCATGAAATAGAGAGTCTGATCCAGAAATTCCGCCGCGAGGGCTTAGAGCCATTTGATTGAATCGCTGTACTAGAACGATGTGGCTTGGTGTAGGATGTACTTGTCAAACCACTCCTCAATCACTCCTAGGCACTTGCCTCAAGCTAAAGGCTTTGACGAGAGCTATTATGACGGGTCAATATTACAAGCCGGGCAGTGATGTTCTCTTAGATGCAATAGAGCATACATGGAAAGAGTTCGTAACTAGTTCCACTCATCATCCCCATACGCTCACCAGCATGGCCAATATTGCGATAACATTTCGGAATCAGAGTCAGTGATCAAGTATCCCAAGTCGATCAACCCTACTATGAGCTCGAGCCAGTCAAGCCTCCGTCATCGCAAACGGAGTTCACGGTCAACGTCACATAGTAGGACGGCATCCAATAATAAGACAACGAAGAGCACAGGGCCATACGATCGTAATTTCCAACAGCATCTAATTGATCACAACTGTTTGCCTCCAGGCCCATATCAGCCTCGCTCACTATCTCTTGGGTCTCTTCCTCGTCGCCCATGTCTGGCTCCTCATTATCTTCGCGCTACTTTACTTCTTCCCCACGACGCCTTGAATGATTGATTGAAATGCGACGTTGGCCAGTCTATCAGCCTCCCTGTCTAAGAAATATTGTATGGTATAGATAGAAACCACAGCTTTGCTGTTTGAGAATGTTAACTTCTCGTGATGGCCTCATTTGGTATTAGATTGAACCACAAACTTCCCTAATGCAGCTGCTGGTCACTACTGAGAGCACAAATCCATGGCACGGCCCTGATCTATCATTTCCTTGGACAGGCACATCAGGCAGCTTTGTTCTGTTCAGTTCTCTCCTCCGAGCCCGAGACCACCGTGTCAATAGTCCGAGATTTTAAAAACTCAAGAAGTCGCGCAACATGGTTTTTATTACCAATCAGCGTCGCATCAGGCCCGTGGCGTGTGTAGATGGGTGCCTCAAAGTAGTCAGGGAAAAAACCTGCATGTTCCCAATCGATAATGGCAGCAATTCTTAAGGTATCTGGATTAACGATGACATTATACTCTGACAGATCGTTATGACAGAAGACATATTCCTCTTCAGTATCCGAGGGCTGGAGCACCCAGAGATCCTGCTTTGTGTTTTCTATGACTGACCTAGGAGGAACCAGGAGGCCAGAGGGCCCACCGATGGTAGTAGACCTCAAGCTATGAAGTGTGTCGAGATGCTGCTTGAGTTCTTCCCTCACTAAATCCTTCTTTTCCAATGGAAGGTCATTCAGCTCGACCCCTTGGATGAATTCTGTAACCAGGTAGTATGCGCCGTCATCTTCAAAGTCGGCATACACAGCTGGTACAGGGATGTTTGTTTTAGAACGAATAAAACGGAGGCACTCGGCCTCGTTCTGGAGTCGCTCCTTGCTCAATCGAGGTATACAGGGCCCATGAGGTCCTTCGTAATACTCTTTCTCTCGGAGACTTCTTTTAATGAAGGACTGCCCTCGCTGGTAGTATTTCCTCTCTGCCGTCATATAGAGACAGCCGTCTTCGCGTATAGAGCTTGCACCGGGACTGCCACCCATGCTGATTGGTCATCGATCTTGGATATCTTGGGGTGTTGCTGGCTGGTAAGGCCAGGAAAGGCAATTAAGAAAAAAATGTAAAGGTGAAGAAGGGTGGAGCGGGTTGGTTGACGAGGTGTTACGAACAAAGCATATGCCCACCATGTCACGTGGAGTACCCCACCTTTTCCACCAATAGGAGATAGATCACTTTGGATCGCTAGTGAGCCTTCGTGATCCTGGCGCCTAACTCACTCTGGATCACTAGTGAGCTATCGTGAGCCCCTTAGTATATATACACATTCATTTCACCAGATAGGATACTCTTTTAGACAGTTATCAATACACAGCTATTTCATTAGCCCGTCTACGCAACTATTGCTACCTGCTCCGCAATACTCGCACATTGACAGTGACTCGCATTGCACAGCCTACGACAACCTGGTCGCGCCACTCAGAACAACATCTGATTGGTTCAACCCTCAACTTACCCTAGACTTCCATCCAGTGTAAGTTGCCCCAACCGTCACACGAGGTTTGGAAAGGCATAAACTATTTTATAGTACTGTGCGGGGTCATTATTAGTTAGGCACATTTAAACCCCTGTCGGCCATCCACAACAAAGTAGTAGCTGACAAATGAGAGGAAATAAAATACTAGATAAGCACACGAGGTAGCTACCCTATGAAGGAGCGACTTAGAAATAAAACAAAAACATGAAAAGCAAAAACTGCTTATAGGCCAGTCTGGTTGAGCAAACTGAGCCTACTTGATCGAACCACTGTGAAGTCCTGGCACAATACTCAATCATCCTCCAGTAGTTAGGATTCTGATACCAGGCTAGAGACAAGCACTTTTCTGTCTGTTCATCAGCCTCCATAATACTAAGTAATTATCGTTCGCTTCAACCCACATGCTAGCCGCAAGGGTTCTGTAAGCAACCTATGCATTGAGTGGCACTAGCTCCATTGGGGGTCCCGCAGTGGACACATTTGACGGGCTCGGGCATATTGAATGGCTGGATTGTCGATGAATCTGAGGGCTGTTAAAGAAGTTATGGGATTCTTGGAGATAATGATGTTCTTGAAATGATTAGGTTTGTCTTGGGTCGTGTGCGTCCTTTATATAGCTCCAACGTCGACCCATTCCAAGCCTGTTCACAACATAGCACCTAGTTAGGCACTCTGTATGCAAGTCGGTGGATTCTTCGTTCATGAAACTACATTGCATTATACTGGTTGAATGGTGTCTGTGGAGGTATTACAGTGAAATAATAGGATATAGGGTCTGCTCAATCTGCGAGAGGAATGTGCGTCGGCAAATTGAGAGGTGCGTCGCTGCCTGTCAGAGTCCGCCCACCCCGTCACGAATTACGAAGTCCCGCGATAATTGCGCATGTTGATGCCAGTGCATATTCCCATCTAAAATTTTGTATTGCGAGTCCGCAATACCGCTCAATCGCATTTTGGTTCCAGAATAGGAAAGTTCAGGGATGCAATTTTTCTACTACTTATTAAAATGCCAATAATTTAGAATGACGTAGTGGGATGTTGTGCTGTCTAACTCGCTTGACCTGAACCACTTGGCAAAGTTTGATTGGCTAAATATGTGGGTGGGGGTATGGCAACTGAAGCCATACGATCGCGGGGTCGCGATACCCTCCTAGGTTTAGTCACAAGATGTGGGTATCGCGGGCTCGCGAACCCCCTATCATCTACCAAAGGAGGTAGGTCTTGTGATCCTGTGACATTTACGTGCGCTTCTTTTTGCATTCAGCACTAGCCATAGAGCTCTACCCGCCCTGAACTACCGTTCGACGCAGATCAACCAACAGCATGGAGCCAAGCACTCGGCAGCCAGATGTCGTAATGGACACCCTTTACAACGAGGGCTTTCTAGCTCTAGAAGATCCAAGCGTTGGAGAGGCTGTCTCAGAACTGGAGCGCAACGGCTTCCCTTTCTGGTCAGAAGAGGGCTTGGATTTTGTGGCGAGACACATTATCAATGAGCCAGTAAGCTCAGCTCTCTTGTCAACGAAACTGCTTCTAACACTCGCAGTATATTCGTAACACTTTACGATCCTGGTTTAAAGAAAGATGTGTTCTGGTGCACTGTTTGAGATACCAGGCGTATCCGGGTGTCGATATCTGCTTCAGAAGAGGCGGCCCACGAGCTGGCCGGCGTCGTTTTATGATACACTTGCTGCCAAAGCAAGCCAGGGCAGGTTACTATAATGGCTCGCATTTACATGAGCTACCGACTGAGGAAACAGAGTACCTTTTTTACAAAGTTTCGCACGAGGCAATTGAAGAGCAAGGCTTGCAGGCTCAGGTAGTTAACTTTGAGCACGGCGGCAGGTGGGTTTTCCTCTTGATAATGAAAACATCTGTCTTGATACTGATCTTCTTAGGGTTATGATCGATGCGCGACTAAGCCTTGAGCTTAAAGAGTGTTATATAATTAGTTTTGTCTTCGCAACTGAGGATGTAGTTGCTAAGTGGCCCCCAATGTATCTTCCTAATCTTCCAATATTAAAGGAAAAGGTGGACAAGATGGAAACACCGGACATTGGCGTGAATTTTGCATTCAGGCATAACAAAAAGGATTAATCAAACAGTTGTTGAATATTCGAGATCTGGAGGAGCATTTGTGTACCAACCATTGGCGTCTATCAGAGGAGGGTAATTAGGAAAGTTTAGTGTGGTGAAGAGGGGTGGATCAAAAATATGGTCGTCTTCTGTAAGTGGGTAAGATTCCTGTATTGGAATGAATGTGTCCATGTTTTGGCCGAGTGCGAGAGGTGGCATCAAATCCGAAGCCAATGAAAGAGCTACTAGACATTAGTCGGGGCCTAAATGCATAGCACAGGGAGATGCAAACATACCATTATTAGGTTCTCGACAGTCCTTAGCAGAATCTGTTTCTAGGGATGCAGCTCCCCACGTCCGCTTTCCTAAAATAGGTTCCATGTGCCCTCCCATGGACTTTTTCAGCGCCTTCTCCAACTCTCTGTTGGACTGACCACGGAGCTCTGAGCATATCTTCTCAGTATATTGCCTCTTTGTCTGGCTCGGGTTCGGGTGTTCTCTTGCGTGTCGGATATATTCACTTGTCCATCTGAAAACTTTGAAACAAATTACACAAACCTCCTCACAAGGAACATCTGCATTTAATTGTTACTGACAGGCTCGTACATATGATAAAAAGGGCAAATTCACGTATCCTGGCGTGGACCCGAAGCTGCTGGCCTCTCTCGAATGGTTCCTTCCGTGTGCATCCCTCAAAAGGACATCTGGTGTTCTTCCTGATAACTAGTTCTGAAATGTATGACTCATCATTCATAATTGCAGTTTCGGTCCCGTTGGCATTCTCGTTGGCATCGTTGGCATCGTTGGCATCGTCGGCATTCTCGTTGGCGTTCGCGTGAGCACGGCAATTTTCAAGTTCGACAGCTCTAGACTACTCACGTTAGAAATGAAATGTCATAGAAAAAAGTGTGTGCTAACCCGATATTCCTCAAGGTGACGTGCTAATAAGTCATTGGACAAGAACGAGGCAGAGCAATAAAGACAAGTGTAACGAGCCATGTTATGACATTGCGTGGCAGATACAATCAGGCGTCGGGCGCTACGTTGGCACAAGATGTGTTTTCAATGCTTCTCTGATTACTAATGTGTATCCACTAGAGCCTGGATAAAATACCTCACTGTGCCTAGTAAATGCGTCAGGACACCGTCGCCCTGCATTCAACCAGCTGTAACCCCGGTTAGCAATCTACTCAGACAATTAATATGCCTTGCGAGACTTGTCAGAACATGGGCATCGTGGGAATGAAGTGCCCGACTTGTGGTCATCCACCGAGGACTGGCTAGACAAAGGGTGTACTGCGGTAGACTTGGTGAGTCAATCCTTTTTTTTTCCGCCATCCAGGAATCCATTAACTGATCATCACAGAGTGAAAGCTGGCTATGATGCTTTAGCTGGGCTTCTTTTCAGAATCCATTTCCCATCGGAGACCAGTTGCCTTCCGTATCGGTTATTGACCCCTTTGTAGGGTCTTTTTGTCGCCATGATGGAGCTAAGAAATTGCCAACAGTAGCCTCAAAATTCAATATATTCCTGCTTCCAGTTCAATGCCTCTCGCGTATTGTCTCAAGCGATCGCGCAGGCGCGATACGCATCTTTGAACAAGTGGGGGAGTATCGCGATTTCGCGATACGCTGGTCTAACTCATACCGGGTAAACCACGGAGCGCCGTGGTCGCCCCCTCTTTCTGCATTGCTACATCCGCAAACAAGATTTGATGATTGAAGCATGGTCGAAGACAGTTAAGTGATGCCAATTTTGGGCTAATTTGATGCTGCTTTTCGAAACGATCGTGATGCAAATGGTCATGGAAGTGTGGTTACTCATCGATAAGAACTAGGTCTGGTGTAGCAGTTAACCCCTTGTTATCAAACATTGGTTGTTAGCGAAGTACGTGGAAGCCATTTAACTATGTGGAGATACTATGAAGCGGATGTTTGCTTCAGGCGCGCATATACTGGCCGCATCAGATGGGGCCTGCATGAGAGCATTAGGTGGACTAGACTAGTACTAATACGATCCTGGTTGATCAAGGTCTAAGAAGAGAGCAAGTGGTCAACGGGTCAGCGCGTAGTCTGGAGTCCTCGGGGAAGGTTAGATGAGGAAAGTGCTTTTTGGGATCTCGACCTTTATTTTTGGTGTGAGTCTCGTTGTATTTAAGATGATGTTGGTACTTGTCCCTTGTATGTTCAGGCAGGGTTGGAACATGATGTGTTGGGGCTGTATTGAACGATATATTCAAGCATTGAGATACCGTCAGAGTTAATTCATCCCGGGAATTTGACTTGTACATTTAGGAAATGACAAGGGTTTAGCCAGTATGCATGTGATGAAGGGAAGGGTGGCCGCGGCCATGTAGCTACCTTAGCGCAACACTGGCCATGTCAGAAGTTCGTTCGCGGAATTGAGAAATTGCTCAATCACTCTTGCTGCGTGATGTTTTGGGGGTCCCCACAACGTGATCGAGGTGACCGACTTGCATGAACTTTTCCAAGATCTTCCACATTGAGTAAAGACGACACGCACAGCTCCTGAAGGTGTTTGGCGGGGGTTTCAACGCTCTTGACCGTTGATAGAAGGCCAAGGCGATGCGAGGCCGCATTCTGCAACTATAAGAATGCACCGTGTCCCTCTTACTCACTCAATTGCTAATACGACCTTCCAGAATAACTTCTTGATTCCTTTATATGCAACCTCGTATTGTCAATTACCACCATCTACGGTTTTCCTCCCATTGTTTCCCATTGTTATCACCATGACGCTCCTTAGCAACATCAGCCCGCCTCTCATCCAAGAGGCACTGTCCCAGCCGATGTCCATTTTGGACCTCTTCCTTCCTGGTTTCTCAAACATCACCAATGCTGCCAGTCAGATCCTGAATGGCAACATGTCTGGCTATACCCAGTTAATGTGTCTCTTTGCACTGGCTGCGTTGTTGAAACCATATGTATTTCGATTCATAGATTGGTTCATTGATCACTTCAGTAAGTCATAAGAAACACAATCACAGGACCCGGGCTCACCTCTACAAGCATCGACTCTCCGGATCAAACGCTATGATGAAACATACGACATGGTTCAAGCGTGGGTCTCAGCTCATGGATTGGAGGATGCTGCTCGTTCCATTCGCGCCAAAGTCAACAAGAAACAAAGAACTCATGATTCCCGCACTAAAAAGCCGCTCCAGTATGCCCCGTGGGAAGGGGCTTTCTACTTCTGGTACGGGAGGTACTTGCTTTCGTACAAAACCACCCAGGTGGATGTCGGCTTTCGCAAGGAGGAACAGATCTCCATCACTTGTGTTGGACGATCTTCGCAAATCCTGAAATGTCTTATGGAAGACTGCCGACGTGAATATCTCGACGGATTGAAGAATAAGACAACTATCTATTCACATCGCGAAAATCACTGGAAAAAAGAAAAGGCAGTGGATGCTCGGCCTCTTACGACCGTCATACTCGATGAAGGGCAAAAGGGTCAACTCATCAATGATATCAACAAATTCCTCGACCCAGACACCAAAATCCGGTATGCTGATCACTCGATCCCCTACAAACGAGGATATCTTCTACATGGACCTCCTGGAACCGGAAAGACAAGCTTCAGTCTATCTATTGCCGGCGCCTTGGATATGGATATCTACGTCGTCAGCATCCCTAGCATGAACGATGAAAAGCTGAATGACCTATTTGGTGCGCTTCCAGATAAATGTGTCGTGTTGTTGGAGGACATTGATGCCGCAGGAGCTACATGGTCTAGGGACTCTGACGCCGATGATTCAGACAGCGATCTCGAAACGAGGTCACCAAAGAAAGGGGTGACCCTTTCGGGCCTTTTGAATGTCCTTGATGGGGTTTCCTCTCAGGACGATCGAATTCTGATCATGACAACTAATCATCCTGAAAAATTAGATGATGCCCTCACTCGGCCTGGTCGAGTAGATTTGAAGATTGCGTTCCAGCTTGTTAATGAAAGCATCGCAAATGAGATCTATCACTTCATGTTCAAACAACCCGAACTCGATCATGGAAATGTTAGTCAACAAGGAGACCATGATGAAAAATTAAAGAGACAGGCAGAGAATGAAGAGATCAAAGAACAGGCAAAGTTGTTTGCAGCAAAGATACCGGAGTCTGTGTTCAGCACAGCGGAGGTTATAGCGTATCTCCAGCAACACTGGAATTCCCCGGCTGATGCAGTGAAACACTGTGACCAGTGGGTGGATGATCTTCATA